GATTGACAATTTGACATTATTCATAAGATACTATTTTTACATTAAATATAACTTTTAAAAAAGATATATTTTTAAGAAAAATTTCTAATTATGTCCAAAACAGAAAGAGAAATAGATGACCAAAAAAAGACAAAACTGGGGTGTGTGTATGTAATTCAAAGATTTAGAAACTTTCCAAAGATACTTAAGCTATTTGACTCTTAATTTATACTCTATATTAACTAACTTTAAATAAAATTGGTTGACATGATCTTCCTAAGTCAGAGCAAATGTAATACAGAATTCATATACTCTAAAATCTCTGCCAGTAACAGGGAATTTAAACTGAGCACTAACCAGCATTAATAACAACTTTCTTTCATATGCTTCTCCAAACTCCCAGAGTACTTTAGGCACTCTTAAAATATTTTACGTAGTTATTGCATTATTCTTTGAAATCCTTGACTAAGCCCATTTTACAATCTGAGCTATCAAGGTTCATAATGGTTAATAAATTTGCCTATATTGTTACAGAGCTTAGAATTTACCAGAAAAGGATTTATAATTTAACCCTGTTAAGACTCATCTAAATCTCTTCCTGTGCTCACAGTCCACCCTGAATTATACACATTATCATGTTCAGTTTTTTCCTGTACTAGACAAGAGAACCTTTTCATTTCTGTATATTACAAACTCCATGAATTTTAACCTTTCTTCTCTTTCCAAATTACTCAAGGTAAAATACATTCCCAATCCTAACTTCCCATCAGTAGTTTCTTAATTCAGGCCAACAAACATTAAAATAAAGATTGCTCTAGAGCACAACTTTCCCTCTATACCTATTTTAAAACTACTATCTAAAAGATATGTGATTTAAACAGAAACAAGTAGTTAGGAGGCCACAGAGGGAGAGTTGAAGGTTTTATTTTTCCCACTCCTCAATTTCTTACTTATTCAGCACTGCATACACTAAAGTCCACATGACAAAAAGGCACATACTCATCATAAAATATAAATACCATACTACACAAAAGTCAACAGAACTAATTCCAAGACCTATGAATCTTGTTTATCATTTTTTTACATTGTTCTCCTAAGAAAACACTACTAGATAACGAATGGCATCAGAATTATTGACTTTATGTAAAAGTTCATAATAAATTATATAAATAAAACCTCAATTTCTACAAAACTTATTTTTAAAAACTATAGCAAAACAATAGATTTACTTAGAAATCACCTCTTCTTGGGGGCGTGGTAGTGCATGCCCGTAATCCCAGCAGCTCAGGAGGCTGAGGCAGTAGAATCAGGAGTTCAAACCCAGCCTCAGCAAAAGCCAGGGTTAAGCAACTCAGTCTCTAAATAAAATACAAAATAGGGTGGGGATGTGACTCAGGGTGGAGTGCCCCTGAGTTTAATCCAGGGTACCTCCAACCAAAAAATTAAATAAATAAATCACCTCATCCATGAAACCAATCACCAATACAGAGTCTCACAAAATTAAGGCCCCTTTCCAGCTAATGAGATATAAATGCTGCCGAATATTTCTTCTTCTGGTACTTACAATGCCTGCCTTTATTGCAATCCCCATCCCTTACCCTTTATACTTAAGTAGGACTAAGTTCTACTGGAAATCTTTTCAATTGCCTTTGAATTTCCATCTAAAATGCTTTGATTCAGGCCCCAGACATATTTAATGAGGACTTTTATATACACTCATCTGACCTTTTTCTCCATTCTCACAATCCTCAATCCACCTTTTAAATTGCCTCCTCTTTCCCCCACAAAGCATTCTAAAACTTGAATCTGATCTGCAATTCCCTAACTAGTGAAAGGCTTTCCCAATTTTATCTCCTCCTTATAGCTATGAAGTATACCTTAATATCTTAAGAAGTCAAGAGAAATTCTGTACAAAAATAATCTGTTGTTACTTAATTTAACTTAGCTCACAAAATATAAAGATTGAAAGAAACCCCACAATTTCCAATGTTAATTTTTTCAACACAATATCCAAAGTTTCCAATGTGACATTTTCAGGATTACCCTATCAGAACAGTACACTTTAGTTCTGAAACTGATTCTACATTAAAATCTTCTGTCAAGCTTGCTAAAAACAAATTCCCAAGCTCCATTTCAGACTCAGTGACTTTGAATATCACCTAGGAATTGAAACTAGCATTTTTTAATGATCTCCAATAATTCTGATGCGTATCTATATTTGAGAACCCAAACAGAAACTCCTTACTTCACAACAAACTATTAGTAGACATAGTTACTTCCACAATGTTTTATACCTCTGATCAACCTAAGGAGTACCTATTCATCTTAAATATTCAGATAATGCCCATTCTAAAAAACTTACTCATCTCCTCTCACACCATCTCTCCTTTGATCTTCTAAACCTTTACAAAAAGTTTGCATATATTCATACACAGTCCTTCTAACCCATACAATCACGCCATGACATAGAATCCCTATTTCACAGGTAAGAAAACTCAATCTACTAAAGGAAGGTTAAGAAATATGTTTAAACTGATCCAGCATTTGAACCCACATTTATTGACTACAAAGCGATAGTGTTTTCCATAGTGACATGCAACCTCTTATAGATCACTCAGAAGTACTGACTCATTCTTCAGTTTATACCTTTGTTTCCCTTTTTAGACATAAAACTATTGCTTCCCTGAACACAGGTATAAATCCTGAGTTTGACCTCAACATATAGTTACTTGGTATGTTCTGTTGAATGAACAAGAAAAAGAAGCTCCTCAAAAGCCGGTACTACACTATTTAGGTTTCATTTATTGGATTCTTAGAGCAAGCTCTGAATGTACTTCTTGTCAAACACATTTGGCCTGACCTGCAAATCTGCTGCTGGATTTATAATAAGACAATGTATTTTGGCATTGTTTCAAACTATGAAAAACTACATGGAGAGGGAAAAAAGATCATTCCAAAAAATTAAAATATCATTCTTACATTACCCTCTATCAAAATGAGGACTTCAAATTTTAATCTTCACAACAATTTCATCCCACAAGAGCAGACAGCTATAACAGTGTGGTTTTAAATGACTGAAATTTAAAAAGTAAAATTGATTAAGAATAGATGACTTAATGAAATTAAACTTATGCTAACCAGTAAGCAATGCTTTTTCTCTATTAATATTCTCCCACATCTGTCATTTTTTTGAAACTAGGAATACTATAGGTAAACACAAAGTAATTAGTATACTTGCATATAAATGTAATGTCCTTCCTGCCTTGTTAATATGTCTGGTATGTAAAACATAGCACAACTACTTCCTTTTTGATACAAACTACATAACAAATGTAGTAAATCAGCAAAACCAATATTTTTTTCTTTTTTCCATTGGCAGATAACTAATACTTTTAAGTGCTGGAGATTTTCCTACACTGACAATATGCAAAAATTAGTTCAGCTTTAAGGACCTTACATATTAAAATACATTCATTTTACTATAAAGAAATGGTTATTCCCTTAACACATCTTTTTCATTTGGAAATAAAAAAGAAAAACTATTATGAAACAAAATCATATAATGGGAAGTACAAAGGGACTAGGCATCAGGAGTTCTGCTGGTTCTCTAACCTCTATTATCTTACTAAACTCTTGTGTGACTTGGGAGTCACTGGCTCCATTTCCTCATTTGTTTTAAAAAGTCGTTAGGTGAGGAGGGATCTGATTATCTTTGAAGTTGTTTCCCAAAATTCTGATTTTGAAACACTCCTCTTGTTGCATTTTTTCTAATCAGTTAACTGTGTTCTTCAAAGTCTAAATTCTTAAATAACAAACACATCTGAAATTGAATGTAAGTATTCAGTCTCCAACTGTTTGGTACAAGACACACAGAGTAAACTTCTATGAAGTTAACAATCTGATAACTTTCCAGAAATTGTCCCAGTCTCGAATTCTTGAACAAGCAGGTGTCCTCTGACATTTTTAATAATATTAATAAGTTATAAAACGGTACTGGTCTGCTGAAACTTCACTAAGTGTTCCCTAGGTTCGAGTGACACATACTTTGCAGGTAAGAGCAAGCAAAAAAGGGAGAGAGCCTCGCAGCATTTCAACAACCCAGTCACCTCAGTAAGATCCTGACAAGGCCTACACCACGAAGCTGAACCTCCCCATCCCCAGAAGTGCCAGCAGCCAATGTAATGAATGCTTCCGTCAACAACACACATTCCCCTTCCCACAGAACTGCTCACTCCCAACAGGCCATCTGGGGTTGGAATCAGCCGCACTACACCAACCTAAGAATCATTCTGGGTCCCAAAGGCCGAAAACTACTAGATTGTGGTTTCCCTGCGCATGGCTGCGGGGAGAGCAACACCCCCTCCCAACAATGATTAAAAAAAAAAAAAAAGAATCAGTGAAGAGAGTAGAAACCAGGCCTAGGCGTCATTGCTGGAGAAAGAAATCCTGTTTCTCTCTCTGCAACGGGGAACAGTAGCATTATCTGCCCTTGCACTGATCCAAGAATGTCCAGGAACCTGCACACTAATTCATCCCCTCCTAGAATCCTAAAGGGAGATTAAAAACCCAATCTGCTTCATTCCCCAATCTATGCATTCCTTAAAGCTCTGGCATTGTTAAAGGTACCCTCAGTAGGAGGTGAAGCTAGGGCTAGAACATGGGTTCTGTTCAAAAATTAAGCTGCTCATGCAAGAAGAAAATCCCTTGTGGTCTGAGAGTAAAGTTTGAACCAACAGCAAGGGCGCGGACCCGAGCCGGGCCAAGCTGGGCTCCAGGGCAGGCCTGCGGAGGTTGACACTCCCTTGTTCCTCAGCAACTCAGGAGGCGGCGTCCGGCCGCTGTGATCCGAACCCACGGAGCAGGACAAGGGCGCCGCCGCGGGGCTCGGGCCGGCGGAGGCCTGGTGGCCGCGGGACCTTCCTTACACTGCTCCCGCCTCCTTCCTCATTCCCACTTCCCGGTCCCCCAGCCCAGGCCCGAAAGGTAACGTCCGGGTAGCGACGGGGGTCTCGGCCACTGACCACACATTTCTTGCCGAGGAAAGTGAAGAGGGACTCATTCTCCTGCGGGGTGAGCAGCAAAGACCCCACGTTGGTGACCTTCCGCGGGGGCGGCGGCTGCTGGCCGGAGCTCATGGTTTCGCCGGCGGGGCTGGGAGTCCAGGGCAGTCTCTTGGGCGAGCTCGTTTCCCCTCTCGGTGACAGGGGCGGGCAGAGGGATTCAGATGAGCAGCATCCCGAAGCTCCCGCGGAGCAGGGAGGAGGACAAGAGAAGGGGAAGCTGACGGCAGGCCGCCTTCGGGCCGCACTCAGAAAGGGAAGCTCCCAGCTCCCGCCCGGCTAGGCTAGGGCCGGATGGCCGTTGTCCTCGCACTCCGGCGACTGCGCTAAACTCCCAACTCCTCCTCCAACGCTCCCCCGGCGGCAGCAGCGGCGGCGGCGGCCGCACAATCCAACATGGCAGCGGGGGCGGACGAGACCACGGGACGCAAGACGCGGGGGAGCGCGCCGGAAACGCGCGGCTGCGGCTGCGGCCTGGAGCCCGAGAGTAACTTCTCGGCTTGCTGCGGGCTTTGCTGGCCGGCCTGAAACCCCGCCCTCTTCCGGCCCGGTGCGGGCCGCGCGGGTCGCTCAGGGTCTGCGGTCCCGGGTGGGGTCCTCGACCTCCGGCTTCTCTGCTCACTGTTCGGGAACCCGAGCCCAGCCGCTACTACTTGGAGAGACGACGTGGGCTGGCTACTACGGCGTAGCAGTCCGCCTCCCTTCTGCGGGCGCACACCTTGGCGTAGTAGCGGGGAGCAGCAGGTCCCCCTCCCAGGAATAGCAGTTTCTCAGGGGGGCGGAAGTGGGGCGCTCACGCCGCGCGTCCTGAAGGGCTGGAACCTGGGGACGAAGATTGGGAAGAGCTCCCGGTGCTGCTGGCTCCTGGTGTCGGTCAGAGCCGCAGGTGCCTGGCGTCTCTCAAACTTTGTCCAGACTTCGACATGGACAATGAAGGAACAAACAGGCCTCTCCCAGGACTGTGGAAGAGATTTTTATGGATATCCCAAAAAACGCACTTGAGAAGAGACGTTGTCGCCCTGCCGGTATGCCGTGGCACGTGGGATAAGTGTATTTGCAACATTTAAACGCAGATTCTTGTATGGGCGCTGAACACGTTTGTTTTTCTCTACCTCCATCAGTTGGAAAATATTCCCTTCCCCCACCTTTCCTCTATCTTAAACCCCGAACGCTTTGTTTTCTTATGAACTAAATTAATGTGCTTATTTGGGGATGTCATCCAGAAAAATACCTTCTCAGCTTTACTCCCTAGAAGTAAATCTCAAAAACTTTTTAAAAATTTGTATGCTTCAGAGTATTAAAAGTTAACCACCTTTGTTGGGAAAGTCAAATACTAGGCCCTTGTAAAAGGAAATTGGGGGATATGGAAATAATGGGCTGTAGTGAATTATAAAACACGTCTGACTTATCTCTGTATTAAGCATATTGGAGTTTATTGTATGGATTTTGCCATCATTTGCTAATTACAAAGTTTTAATAAAGTTGTATTGAACTTAAGACGTCTATCCTGTGATGATTAAGCTTTCAACTTTTCAGCTCTCTTTTCAGCTATCTGATGTTTAATATCTCTTAACAGCTCCCATTAGAAATCTCTAATATACTAAACAGATTAATAAATCATTCTCAATTCACTTTGAAAATAGAAAAATTTTAAAGCTTCCCTTAATGAAATTGAGCCGGGAAAAAAAAAAATCTTCAAAGGAAAATGAAAGCATATAACCTTGGAAGTTCTCACATTATATGTGGATATTTCAAAATTGTTTAATAATGTGAGATGAAAAAAGTGAGCAAAAAAAAGTTATTTATAAAATATAAAATTGGGTTTAGGAAGGTAGTAGTAAAAATGTAAACCTGGGGTTGCCTCTGAATAACACACTAGTAATATAAAGCCCAAAAATAAATCAGTTTGTCATTTATTAAAAATGCACCTCTTCCAAGTTGAAAGCACAGTGACAACAGAAAGCATTACACATTCTTGAGAAATGATAGAAATTAGGACCCTCTTTTTTTGGAGGGGGTGGAGGGAGGCAGGATGTGTACTGGGGATTGAACTCAGGAGCACTAGATCACTGAGCCATATCCCCACCAGTATTTTTTTTTTGTATTTTATTTAGAGATAGGGTCTCACTGAGTTGCCAGTACCTCCCTGTTGCTGAGGCTGACTTTGAACTCACAATCCTCCTGCCTCAGCCTCCTGAACCCTCTTTTCAAACCTGTCAACAGCTATACACCAAGAGCATAGGCTTCAGATAGGCCCAGATTGAAGTTCCTTATTCCTCTTAGAACCTTTTGGACTTGAGAAACATTTCTTTTCTGGCTCAATTTCTTTATCTGTAAAATGAAAATAATTTCTGTTTTATAAAGGTATAGTATAAATAGGGATAGTTATTCATACTTCAGAATTGTAAAATAAGATGGCCATAATGTACCCGGTACATAGTGGCTACTGAAGTTATTGTTGTCTGTTATTTAACATCCTTGCCTACAGTCTGTTCAGCTTTCTCTTAGGTAAAGATCAAGAGTTGAGTGAATTACATATTTTTAACTCTGCTCTATCTAAGCCTTATTATCCAAAAACTGTCCTCAAATTTAAAACTACATAATTCTTGAAATATATGTTGGTGAGTTTGGAGCATAATCTCTCAGTAAAATTTCCAATTAGGCTATATGTTGTGAAAACTCAGCTATATGTATATCCCCATATGTCAAAATAGCAAAGCTTTTTTTAATATTGTAAATCTAGAAATGGAATCCTATTATTCTGTAATCAATAAAAATTCAAGGGCTGGAAATGCAGTTAAGTGCTAGAGCTTGTGCTTAGAATGTATGAAGTCCTGGGTTCAATCCCAGCACCAAAAAAAGAAAAACGTAGCAATTTTTTTCCTGTTCTTTTTAAAAATTTGTTCTTTCTAGGTACACAAGACAGTAGAGTATATTTTGATGTAATATTCATACTTGTAGAGTAACTTGTTAAATCTCATTCTTGTGGTTGTACATGATGTGGAGTTTTACTGTGGTGTATTCATATACAAACAGAAAAGTTGTGTCCAACGCATTCCCTCTCTCTCTTCTCTTCATTCCCCATTATCAACTGAACTTATGTCCTTCCCCTCCCCACCCTTTGTGTGTTAGCATCCACATATCAGAGAACATTTGACCTTTGGGATTGGCTTATTTCACTTAGCAAGGGTACACAATCTTTTTTTTAATTGGTTCTTTTTAATTTAACATGACAGCACAATCTATTTTTATAAAATTATACACGCATGGGATATGTCTTATTAGGAATATATCTTATTAGGACCCATTCTTGTGGGTGTACACAATGGTGGGATTCACTTATTTTTTTTATTTGTACAAAGGAAAATTATAGATTTATTCTACCATCTATTTCTGCTCCTTCTTCTCTTTTGATTAATGTACTGAACTTTCACTTCTTCCGTCCCCACCCCCTTTATTGTGGTTTAATTTCCACATATCAGCAAAAACATTCAACTTTGTTTTTTGGGGATTGGCTTATTTCACTCAGCATGATAGTCTCCAGATCCATCCATTTACTGGCAAGTGTCATTCTTCTTTATGACTGAGTAATATTCCACTGTATGTATATACCTCCATTTCATTATCCATTTATCTGTTGATGAGCATCTAGGTTGGTTCTATGACTCAGCTATTGTGAATTGTGCTGCTATAAACATTAATGTGGCTGTATCACTGTAGTATGCAGATTTTTAAATCCTTTGGCTATATGCCAAGGAGTGGAACACTGGGTCAAATGGTGGTTCCATTCTAGGAATCAATCTAACAAAAGAGGTGAAAGACCTCTACAATGAAAACTACACAACCCTAAAGAAAGAATTTGAAGAAGACCTTAGAAGATGGAAAAAATCTCTCATGTTCTTGGATAGGAAGAATCAATATTGTCAAAATGGTCACACTACCAAAAGCACTATACAGATTTAATGCAATTCCTACTAAAATTACAATGTTGTTCTTCATAGAAGTAGAAAAAGCAGTCATGAAATTTGGTAAAATAAGAGACCCCAAATAGCCAAAGCAATCCTTAGAAAGAAAAGTGAAGCAGGAGGCATCCTAATGTCAGACTTTAATTATACTACAGGGCCGAAGTAACAAAAACAGTATGGTATTGGCACAAAAACAGGCATGAAGACCAATGGAACAGAAGAGAAGACACAGAGACAAACCGACATTAATAGCAGTTATCTCATGGTGGACAAAGGTACCATAGACATACATTGGAGAAAAGATAGCCTCTTCAACAAATGGTGCTGGGAAAACTGGAAATTTATACATAATAGAATGAAAATTGACCCCTCTTTTTCACCCTGTACAAAAATCATCTCTAAATAGATCAAAGACCTCAGGAGTAGACCAAAACCCTGCACATACTAGAAGAAAATGTAGGTTTAACATATTGGCACAGGAATTGACTTTCTGAACAAGACTCCTAAAGCACAAGAAATAAATAAAAAATTAATAAATGGATGGCATCAAACTAAAAAGCTTTACGGCAAAAGAAACAATCAAGAACGTGAAGAGAGCCTATAGAATGGGAGAAAATCTTTGCCACCTGCACCTCAGGTAGAGCGTTAATTTCTAGGACATATAAAAAACTGAAAAAGTCTAACACCAAAAAGCCAAATAACCCAATTAATAAATGGGCAAATGAACTGAACAGACACTTCATAGAAGAAATACAAATGGTCAACAAATATATGAAAAATGTTCAAAATCTCTAATAATTATTAGAGAAATTCAAATTAAAACTACACTGAGATTTCATCTCACTCCAGTCAGAATGGTAATTATCAAGAATACAAGTAGCAACAAATGTTGGCAAGGATGTGGAGAAAAGTGAATGCTCATACATTGTTGGTGGACTGCAAATTGGTGCAACCCCTCTGGAAAGTAATTTTTCTGTTAGAAATGCCACCTCTTTGAACTTCTAGATCACCAAACTATTTTGAAAGTGAGAGAGATGTGGAAGAGAGCTGGGACGGGGGCAGTGCTATGAGATGGGAGGTGAAGGAAGTAAGTGTACATTGGAAGACTCTATCCCATGCTCAGAACTATTGAATTCAAGTCATTTTACAACTTTCTATTAGCCTAGACTATTTATTGTTGGAATTATACACTTTCTTTCAAAAAGTTTTAAGTTTTGTCCAAGTGCACTTTTCTATTTGCTCTTATTATCTTTTCTTTAGACTTGAAGACTGAAAATTATGGCCATAATAGACTTTCTTTTTCATGCCTCAATATTTAATTTTTCCTCAAATTTTAAGTAGAGTACTTTGTCCACAAAATCACAATTTAAGTTCTTATTTTCCACCCTTTTTGCTTTTCTATAGACCTTTTCCAACTCCTTGATATTATAAAATATGGAAAATGTAAGCAATTTTGCTGCAAATGTGATTTCCTTGCTTGTTTGAAATTTTCCTCCTTCCCATAAATAAAGGATAGTATTTTTCCACATTCATCCTGAGATCTGTAAATACTGGCTGTATTTGTTTCAAAAATTTAGCAAGTCCTTTCTGTCTTTCATTCTCGATAGTATATCCTCTCTTTAGCTGAACACTAGACATCTTTCACTCTGTTTTCTTTGGCATTTTCTTATCTCAAATTCTTTTTAACCAGTTTGAGAGACTG